TTGTTTTGGTGGGCCCAGGCTGGATTCGAACCCGCCACCTTAGGTGTATGTGGCTGACACCTTAGCCACTTGAGCCACAGGCACCGAGCCATGAGAAGTAGTTTTAAAGCTACGTCTATATCCAAATTCTCCAATAGTGATAGAGTCTTCTGATCTTGACCATTCTTCAAAGTTGTCACACTCCATATTTATATATACTCCCACAAGAATCCTCTGTTTTACAAATTATTTTAGGCATAATTGTGAAAAATATTGAGAACTGAAGCATGTGATGCTTACAGACTCAAGTCAGGTAATGTAATGGTTAACATGTGTTGTCAGTTTTAGTTTGCAAAATGAACAATACCTATAAGGTGTTATTAGCACCAAAGCATCTTATATTAAAGCTGTCATCTGAATCATCTTATTTGAATGCCTGTAGGTGTTGTTCATGTTCAAAAGGTTAAGTGGTCATGTCTGGTTCCTTAGGTAAATAGACCTGTTTACAGATAATGTGAGATTTTGTGGATTTTATTTTCTAATTTAGCAAACTTCTGGTGGAACATTCACTATTTGGTGTAAAAAAATTATGGCTGAGAAGTAAGCACTGAAGTATTTGTGTCCGGAGACAGCTTATTGTCTGAGTCCTTTAGAATATAAACTTGAAACTGTATTTCATTAGTTTGATTTCTGTGGTACCAAACACAGGGCCCTGCCTGTCTCAGTTTAAGAACATCGTGTTTTGCCTACTCTGACCCAAATTTTGTTTCTTCTTCATGTATAGATGTCACATGTTGATACTGTGTCTGTGACTCTCTGAGCACCAGAGCTACGCTCCTCACCTTTAGAAAAAGCAGTTTATGGTGCTTTTGGCACTGTGCAGTTCACTGATCTGCTCTTAAGTGCTGCTGCTTAGTATCCTGGGAGTTATATCAGGTTGCAGTGCTGGTTTTGGTGTTTGACAGATGCTGGGAGTGCCTAGACTTTTAAAACATTCAAGGACTACTAATAAGTCCTCCTTTGATCAACATGAGTAAAGTAACATGTTGGGTAGAGAGTCTGTGTAGATACAACTCCAACTTTTTACCCCTTTGATTCAACCACATCAAAAAGCTTAATGAATAAGAAAAATGGTGAAAATATTTAGGTAGTCTGGTAAGGAGATCAGTTGATGAGGAAAAACAGCAGTGAGGAAGGGGGAGGAAACTAGTTACCAATATTGCCAACCTTGATGGAAAGCAGAGTTGATTCAGGACCCCAGATCCAGATCAGAGCAATCTTAGTTTATCCAAGAGGAACATCTATATGCAGATTCATAGAAAATTGTACAGGGAAGAATAAGATACTGGACAGATAAGGTAATGAACATTCAAAACAGTAAATGAGGGTGGCGCCTGTGGCTCAGTGGATAGGGTGCCGGCCCCATATACCAAGGGTAGCAGGTTCAAACCCAGCCCCAGCCAAACTGCAAAAAAATAGCTGGGCATTGTGGCAGGCACCTGTAGTCCCAGCTACTCAGGAGGCTGAGGCAAGATAATTGCCTAAGCCCAGGAGTTGGAGGTTGCTGTGAGCTGTGATGCAACAGCACTCTACAAAGGGCAATAAAGAGAAACTCTTTTCTCTAAAAAAATAAAAAAAAAACAACAATAAATGATTAGGTTATCTAGCTTCTCATTGGCAGTACCCTGCTTTAAAATGTTCTTTAAGTTTCTGTAATTTATGCAGAAACCAGACTGCTCTGTTTTGGGCTGAGATGCCCATACCCTCAGACTCTCCCCACCCCCTTCCTAAGCTGCTTTATAGGAAAGCAGGAGTATTTCCTATAATTTGTGGTGGGCACTGGGTCCTGACTGAAGCTTGCTGTTTTTCTTCCAGATTTTATGGACTTTCTCCATCTACCTTGAATCAGTGGCTATCCTCCCACAGCTCTTTATGATTAGCAAGACTGGGGAGGCTGAGACCATCACCACCCACTACCTGTTCTTCCTGGGCCTCTATCGAGCTTTGTATCTTGTCAACTGGATCTGGCGCTTCTACTTTGAGGGCTTCTTTGACCTCATTGCTGTTGTGGCCGGCGTAGTCCAGACCATTTTATACTGTGACTTCTTTTACTTGTACATTACAAAAGGTATGTTCAGAGCTACTTGGATTGTTTCTATAATCGTGTTCTTTTAGGAGAACAGCTTCTTTGCCCAACACTCTCCTAATCTGGTATTCTCACAAGCAGAACTGGTTTCAGAGAAACAAATGATGCCAAATAAAATTCTAGATCAGGGTATCCTGATAGTCAGGGAAAATCTCTATTATTGTTTCAGTAGACATGATGTCTCACTGTATATATAGATGCTATTCTATACCCTGCTTTCTAATCCTGCTTAGATTTTTTTCATGACAATAAACAGAAATCTGGTCAGGTGCAGTGGTTTATGCCTATAATACCAATACTTTGGGAGGGTGAAGCAGGAGAATCACCTTGAGGTCAGGAGACCTTGTCTCTACAAAAATTAAAAAATTAGCCAGATATGTGTTATGTACCTGCAATCCCAGCTACTCCAGAGGTTGAGGCAGGAGGATTACTTGAGCCCAAGAATTCAGGGTTACAGTGAGCTATGATTGTGCCACTGCACTCCAGCCTGGATGACAGAGCAAGACCTCATCTCTAAAATAAATAAACATAATTTTCAATAACTGTACAGTATTTCATTGTGTATATGGACCATGATACACTCAGAAAAATGCATATTTATATGTAATGCACACAAATGTATACATATACTTTTGAGGGGGGTTAAGAACTCCTAAAGCCCAGCCACATATGCCAGGCTAAGAATCTCTGCTATACAGTAAAATTCCTGATGATGGAATTAGTAGGTAAAAGAGCATATATGTGTATATCTTACCTCTTTTTAAATATCCAAATTTCATAGAGCTCCCTATGTATAAGTTATATTTTAACATATGTTGGTTAGTCATGATAACAAAAAGCTGCTGTGAATTTGGTAGCACTGTAAATATCAAATTTACATTTTTAAAATACAATTGCTATTCTTGTATTCTTTACTATGTAGAATCTTGTGTATGACACTTCTAGAAATGGAAAAAAGAAAAATGTAAGCTTGTCAATATCAGTAACCTTTTGTTTTCTCTTTATCTCTTTAAAATTCTAGTACTCAAGGGAAAGAAGCTCAGTTTGCCAGCGTAAGTGCCAAAGACCATCACCAGCATCTGTCCTTCAGGGTGCTCGGACAGAATTCTTACGACACAGCAAAGGCATAAGATGCTTGATACGGAAAATCAGAAACTTAACTCTTTTGTTGCATATAATCACCAGTGGCTCTGTGACAACACAGAGGAAAAGAACCAGAAGGTTTCTGTTTAATGCATCTTGCCTTATCTTTTTTTATTACTATGTACAAAGATTTTTTTACACAAAGAAACTTACTGCTGTATTAATAAATTCAGTGTGTAGCTTCAATTGGGATAGTTCTAAAGTGAAGACTTTGTGAGGAATAAGTGCAAACTTTTTTTTATTTTAAAAATCCTTTGACATTGTTGAGTCTTTGTGTCTGCAATGAAATTGTACGCCTTGACAGTTGGTAGATTATATAGTCTTCCATCTATCAAATTTGCATTCCACTATATTTATTTTTTGCCAAAAGACGAGTCATATTTGTTTGAAATCTGAGACACTATTTCAGTTTGGTACATGTGTTCAAATTTACTCTTACTTGACCATGGAAATCCTTCCTTGGATATTAAACACTACATTTAAGGTTGGTAAGGATAACTTGCAAGCCTTATGGTTCTTATTACCAAAATTATAAGATTCTGAATGTAGATGGGAGTCTCACTGAAGAGTCACCAAAGGTGCCTGCCCTCCTCCCCTGCTGAGACATGTCAGTCCTGAGGGTGTTGAAAAATTCAGTAAGCAGGGGTGCTGGCCATTTGCCATCTGAACGTGGGGTAGGAGGGACATTAGTGACTATTTTGGATATATGACTACTTCTCTGAGGACTAGAACACGAATAGTTACCTATTACTTTAATTTACAGTTCCAAAAGATTACCACGACCATGTCCATGCTCAGATTCAAAAGATTTTTCTTATCACTTTTGGATGGCAAAATGATTGGTAATATTTTTAATTGGCAGCACCAGTTACCATTCCTTATATTCTTTGTGTGTGTGTGTGTGTGTTGTTTTTTTTTTTTTTTTAATTAGCTATTGCATGACTTATCTTGTGTTACCATCCTAAACAAACATATTTTGTCTTTTTGTGACTTAGACTTTTGGAACATCGTATGTTGGGATGATTTTGTCTGTTTTTCATTTGGCAACAAAAGCTCTACAAGGCTACAAACATATAAAATCCACTTGATAATCTGTAAACCTTTCTGTATTTTGTGGAAATATTAGAATTTTTTCCTCCCAGTTTTGCCATTACATCGATTTGCTACCTTTTTTGATTTATGAGAAGTATGATTTTGTTTTTATGTGATGCACCATAAATATTAAAGTGTTGAATACTAACAGTGCTTACTACAAGCAGAATGTAGTAGTTTTGCTTTTTGCATTAAAATGTCTTGTAGAGGAAGGGAGCAGGATGGGTTTTATTTTTTTCCAGTATGTATCTTAACACTTTGTAAATTGGCAGTGTAACTGCATAGTTTAACCTCCCATCTTACCTCCCTCATTTTACTTTTTCCCTTTTGCCTTATGTTTTTGTTCTAAGAGTATCTTTCTTTCCAGCATCCTAGTCTTGTTTTAGTTTCTATGATCTGTTTTTATCCTCCTTGGAGGATTTCTGATAGTGTGGAGGAGGGGTGGGTAAAATAAGTCACAGTAAATTGAGCAGAGTGCTTGCTGCCTGGACTGGGGCAGAGTGGGGACTCAACACTTGTCTTTGTACACATAAATGAAACACAGGCAGGGACTGTTCATTGGAGAGCACCATGCACAGAACAAGATATGGAACTCAGCATATTGATGGCATTTGCAGCCAGCCATTCTACTCAAGTGAAAGTAAAATGGGCTGAGTTGTAACTACTATTCTATGGTTAACCAGGATGACATCTTCATAATAATGGTGCCAGAGTTGTAGTGAGGGACTAGGTCACAACCTAGCAAGTTGGAAACAGGCCTTGTGTGACATGCCTTATGAAGCACTGTTTCATAGTTACTCTCATTTCCTGAATAAAGGTTACCAGGTAATATGTTTTATTGAGGTGCTTTTTTTTTTAAATTTGTGTGAATTTTAAAAATGTGAACATGAAGATAAGATAAAGTTCATAAATTTGGCCAGTAGCTCCTAACTGTAAGAAAAGCTATTGGCTGCTTATAGACACCAGTCCAATCACATAGAATTGATCAAAGTTTTCTACTTCCTCACACTCTGGTCAAGAGTGGAGTAGTTAAGAGTAGTTTTAATGAAGATCATAATGAATTATGGGAACCCTAAGTAAAAAAAGGACAAGCTTGGGGCTCAGATTGTCAAAGAGTCTTGGCTCCCACACCTTCAGTTACATGGAGCAACTCCTTCCCAGGACCTCTGTGAAATTTCAATGAGCCACTGTCAGGAAGGCTCATAACCCAGAATGATAAACATTAATCACCTCAGTTGCTCTCTTGACTCCTGTTCCTTGTGTTATACTTAGCTTGGGACTAGTTCTGGCAGGAGTCCCTGTGGTGGCCCATTTGGTGAGATTAGTAAGTTTTACCAGAAGGTTCAGAGCCCTTTTTAGGAGGAGATGTAGAGAACTGTCACTGTATTATAATCAACTCCTAGATACTGTCCAAACCCACTCATCTGAGGCTTGAAGATTAGTGATTGGATGTGAGTGCCATGTAGGTTTTTTTCTGTGTCTGTTCGCCTTCTAGTGGCTAGATATGGGATTTCCAAGGGAGCAGAGGTGGGCCTAGTACCGCCAGCTGGAACTCCTCCAGCCCTATGTGGCATGACCTTTATAGTGTGGAATCTTTTTTTTTTTTTTTT